GTTTATCAACATGTTTGACAAAGATAAAAGACGTATTTTATCCGGGATTTCTTTTTTTTCATGCTTCTTGATGGCTTGACTAGAATAAGGGAGAAGTCGTTTTCACGGAGAAAATTTGGTTGGTCATGCATCCAAATTCGTAAAAGCGGATGTTTCACAGCTATACTTACAAGTGTTTTAACCGAGGTAAGCGTCTAAAAGTTCCAGTCCTGATGTGCCTTAGAGCATTAATACTGAGATTCCTGTAGAAGATATAAAAGAAACAACTGTGCCCATTGCGTTTTGATCCGTTAATCTGACATTTTTTTGGCACTATTGTCACTACTGTGCTGTAACACGCAACCTTAAAGGATCTTGTGGTAAATTGTCTTACTGGCACTAGCTCCGACTTAACGTTGAGGGGAAATCAGCAGTTGTAATTTTAAGACTGACTTTACTCCATAACAGAGAGTCGTCTCCTTGTGTGGGAAAATACTTTGTGCTTTCCAGTTTCTCTGTATTGTTTCCAAAATTTTAAAAGTGAGAATATGCACTCGCGTTTCTTTTGTGAAAGAAGTTGTTGGAATGACAAGGAAAAGTTAACCTTTAAATCATTACTTACAAGACTCGAAGATATTTCAGTGTTGCAAACACTCCATCAGGAAGACTTGATATGTTGTTCCTCGATAAGTCTCTAAGAGAAAAATATTTTTTTGGATAAATTTAGTTTGAAATACTTAAAACTTCACCTGCCTTAAGGGCTGGTAGAGAGAGATTCAATGCAATTAATAATATTCCGCACACTCCGTGCATTATTTATTTATTTGTCTGTCAGTGCATTTACATCAGTCCATAACTTCTTCACTGTAACATTGCCGCAAATAAAGGGGGTTCCTGCGTAGCGTTTGTGTGTGTTAAAAGTGGGAAGGTGGTAAGTTAAACGCTGATAATTGCAAATAAAACTCCGACGTTTCGGCAATGCTGCCTTCATCAGGGAAAATATGTAACATCGCCGCGCCTACACACTTCGACCGCCGCCTACACACTTTGACCGCCTCCCGGTTAGCTCAATGGGATGAGCGCCGGTCTGCTGAGCGGGATGACGCGGGTTCAAACCCCGGCCGGAACAACACTCAGAGTCTTTAAATACCTGAGGAGAAAGTGCCGCCTTTGTAATAACATATGCAAACGGTTAGACTTTCTAGTCTTCTCCGATAAGGACGATAAACCGTAGGCCCCGTCTCACAAGCCCTTGCAAATGTAATAAATCTGTGGGTCGTTAAAGAGCCCACACACTCTTCGTAAAGAGTAGGGTACGTAGTGCCCGGTATTGTGGTTTATCTCACTTCCACACTCACGTATGGGAGCATCACTACTCGTTCTTTCATTACTTGTAAACTGCACCTAAGCAGTCTGGCAAAGTCTCCCAACCAGTGTTGTAAATTATCCCTGAAAAGCCCTGAGGGGAGTGGATAATAAGATATTTACAATTTACAATTTACAATTCTCTTGACAAACTGTCTACTAGGTTTAAAATTTTAATGCGCATCTAACTGTGGTGTGGACGAGAGGCTCTCTGTAACTATTTCCACTTCATGTAATATAAACCGACGACCCATCGAATACCAAACCACACGAAGCTAGGAGTGTGTTAATGAAATGAGCATGAACTTTCATCGAACTGTCTCATCTGTTTTAGTTAGAGACAAATTTACGTTTACAATTATTATAACGTATCTGCTACATTTTACTTCAGTAAGATACCCCTTGAAGCTTGTATAAGGAGCTTATAGACAGCTGAGGTATAGATAGAGGAGATAAAGTAAATTGATTAATTTTTTTTCATCTATCACAACAGGTATACATTTTGGTACTTACAGTTTGTAAAGATTCTTTGTGTAGTAGAATGTTCCATAAGCAATGTATCGCAATCGGTTACCTCTTAAATATCTAACGATTAATTATAACTAATTAAATAACACAATGAGCAAATTCTATGTCATTCTATGTTGCTTTTATCCATGGAAATTTTTATTTACGACCAGATAAAAAAAAACAAAACAATCTTTCCATAGGTGTGACTAACAAAAGCACGAGGTGGTTGACAAAAAAGTATTGAAATATGGTTTAATCAGATTGAAACTTTTTCTCCCAAGAATTTTTTTAAATTTGCCTCCGAAAGAGACTGCTACATGAAGGTTTCACGGTTAGTAATATTTTGGAGTTATTCGGAGGGGGAAGCACTAACAACCACGTCAAACTGCTGTTTAAACCTTGAGTTTGTTATCTCCATGACTCTTTCATTTCGCTTGGTATAGTGGGAAGTACATTCAGCGGATTTTTCTGTTATAAATAATTATGAACGAATAATTCAAATAGAACCCAGCAGTATTGAAAGACCAACTGGTAGGAGGCAAGTAGTTAGTTATTTACAAACATGGCCAAGGATGTGTACTCGGAACGACCTAGAACAAATCCAGCAAGCGAATAGAGTGGGACTCGAACACGGGACCGCCGGATTGCTAGTCCGACGCACTGACCACTCTGCCACAATGCCTTCATAATGAATACGACAACAAAGGGGAACAACGTCGCGCTAGTGACAAGGAAAAGAACATGGGTACAAAGAAATAAAAAACAAAACAAAACAAAACAAAAACAACAATGAGGCATCTGGTTCCTCTTTTGAATAGGGAAGGTTGCTTATCTCCAAGCTAGCTAATCAGAAGTATTGAGGGCCTGCATATACTGATCAGGTAAACTGTGGTCGATTTGTTTAAACATAGCTTACAAGTTTCTGAGTTTTCCCATTCGGTAGAATCCAGTAGCCTCGATGCGGTGAATGTCGTTGTTATCCATGTCACTGTGAAGATAATATGCTGGGTAGTCAACTTTACATGCGATATCTTTAAGGTTTGGTTCATGTCTGATTTGGACAATTTATTCACTTGTATTGCTTGCTTATATTTTTGAGTAAGCATGGTTATTTTACTGATTTGTTGTTTATTTTTTTCCTCGATTGAAATCTACCGCCTTTCGTTGTTTGTATGGTAGCGTATGAAAATGATTTTGAAACAAAGGAAAGTAAAATCAATTTCCAAGAAACTTGCCTTTACAACTTTGAATAAAAAGGATCTCAGTTAAGTATTCCATTGCACAGAGCGATGAACGCTAGCCTGAGCACAACAGCGAGTACTAGCTTCTGCTACTTAAGGAGTGGCCAAACGTTTCACACTACAGATCAAGGCAATAAAAAATATATATAAACACCACTTACAGATTGTATAGATAGTTAAGGCCAGAGAAAGTCTTATTTTTAATAATCTCCAACTTGTTGTTAGCAATCGACCTACATTTAATTGAAAAAGAAAGGAAAGTATAAAAAAATAAACAATAAATGTGATCGTCACGTATTGGCATAGAGTGGTGCATTTTTAAATTCTATTTTATTGTGATTTGAACTTTTATAATCAATTTTCCATTTTTATCCTTTTTAACAAAAGATAAATAAATATTGAACCATAATGTTCATGGATTCTGACTGGGACTATTGCACTAAACCTGGACATTTCTGGTTAGAGAGTTCACGTTTTACTTCCAGAGGTACGTGTCTCGTGACTTCATGCTGGAGAACAGGACTTGGCAAAACGGATGCATACCTGAATAGTTATGGTCTATTTGTGGACACAGTGAAGTCGACGGCCCGAGGATTTCTTTGTAGCGGAACCCTCGTGCGCGCCAGCGGAGCACCATGGGTAAGTAAATCTACACCATCCCAGAAAATTTGGTAATCACGTGACCGTACACCGACCGCCTGCCATCAGTCCGTACTGCAGGCATGCCAATGTACACTCTCACACTTTCTAGCTATTTTGGGAGCCCAGGGAGCCCAGGAGAAAACTGATTGCACGTCAATGTTGTGATCAATTGACAGCTGTCAAATGATCAAATGGTTCTGAATATTGAATGAGAGCAATTTGTCTTGAAAAATCGAGAAATACTGCATTTTGTCTGAGGTCTGTATGATAAAAACAGCGCCTCATAGTACTGTTTCACCCCAGATGTGATGTATAAAAAGTATAAAAGGTTGGTTTACATGCACATAGGTTGTTGGCAAGATTTTGCAAAGTAAATTTATAAATTTATTAATGAGAGCTTAGCTTTTAGCCCTGGCTAAATCTATATATTACCAAAGTAGTAGTGGTAGCTAATATATACCAGTAGTATTAGTAGTAGTAGAAGTAGTAGTAGTAGTAGTTGAAGTAAAAGTTGCAAGGAACCTTTTTTTTAAAGTTTTTACCTTACATCATTGCCTTGATAAGTTACACCCTGCTAGTGGTAACTCCTACAAAGGCGTTTGTACCTTGTCATATTTGCTATCATGAATATCATGAAAGTACCCTAAGCATGCTGGGCTAGAATTCAATTTGGCTGTAGTGTGATACAGTACATAACATGGTGTTCTGAAATATAAAGAATTTCTCCAAACGACAAAGGAAACACGGAGCTGAGCTACAACAGTGATATGCAAAAACCTCCGTCAGACCTGAGGAGACGACATTGAATGAAATTTTGTTCCAAAGATGGATTGGACGAGCAACGATCTGCCAACCGTGTGGAACACATTCCCAATACACAAGATTTGAAACCTAAGTGAAGCGCAGATCGAACAAGGTGTTTGCCACGTATACATTTCATTTGAGAGTGCAACAATACGGTGATTCCTTTGAACAGCTTATGGTTATGCTGACCCCGATGAAATGGCTCGAGACCGAGTTGTGATTAGCTGCCATTCTTCAAAGAAAAAACTCATTAACGAAGGCTCAGACCTGAACCTATAAAAAGCCATTTCTATTGCCCAAACTGATGAAATATCGCAGGCACAGTTGCAAACCATGGCAACAGAAAATCTAAGAATAAATAGTGTAAAGGCAAGGAACAAAAAACACGCTCTGGAAAAGATTGTGGCAGATGTGGCTATCAACATGACAAGGGCAAATGCCCAGCTCAAGGAAAGACATGTTCAAAATGCTACAAGTTCAATCATTTTGCCATCGTTTGCCTGTCAAAAAACCCAGATAAGAATAAGTGAACTGTCTAGATGAATGTAGTGATGATGAAGTCGGATGAACCGCCCCAGTTAATGATATAGGAACAAGTGAATGTGAAGACCCTAAGATTGAAGGCAAAGTTGTAAAGGTCCAACTAGATATTGGTGCTAAAGTCAATTTCATCTTTTCCAACGTTATATGCAAGATTTTGCTTCTCGCTACCACTATGAGACGACTCAAGTGAAACTCTCAGGCTATCAAGTTCCTACTAAAGGAGTAGTGACATTACCTTGTGAGTGCAGAGGTAATATGTTGTATGTAAATGTCCACGTAACGTAGTTGAAATAGAGGCTCCTACAGTATTTCGTGCCCAAACCTGCATAGACATTGGTCTTCTTGCCCGAGTACACCTAGATCAGCAAGAGAACCTCTCAAAGTTTCCAATAGGAATGTCTCACAACATCTATGAGCAATATTCAGAAGCCTAGGTTACCTTCCAGGTTAACACACAATCAAAGTTAAATCAAGCATCTACCAAGAAATGTGCCTGTTTGGCTCAAAGAAAACAAATCAAAGAACAGCTTGACTACTAGTAGTAAAGCAGAAAGAGCCTACTGACTGGATGGATAGTATGGTAGCGGCCGTGAAAGTGCCTTACAAGATTCGCATCTGCATTGAAACGAGAGAATTAAAAAAAGCAATTAGAAGGGAACACTTTCCAATGACTACTGTAGAAAAAGTTGTTGCTGGTATGCCTCAAGCAAAAGTGTTTTCGGTCCTTGACACCACCTCTGGATATTAGCAAGTGAAATCAGATGAAGCTAGCCCAACGTTTTGCACATTCAATACGCCATTCGGAAGATACCGGTTCACAAGGTTACCATTTGGAATAAAATCAGCTCTCGAGGTGTGTCAGAACCGTATGTCAGAGCTATTCGCAGATGTAGAAGGCAAGCAAGAAGAAAGCTTTCAGACGCTCGAGCAGATGGCCCCCTCAACACCAATATTTTGTTAATATGATCCAGGAAAACAATTATGCATCTCTGTAGGTGCAAGTTCCAAATGTTAGGGACAATCATTTTGCAAGATGAGAAGCACCTGGCCTATGCTTCAAGAGCCTTCACACAAACCCGACAGCAGTAAGCACAAATTGAAACAGCAAACCTTTTCGGTTGTGTATGGAGTGCAGAAATTTCGTCAGTAGACAGCAAGCCATTGCAATACATCTTATACAAGCCCTCACATGAACCATCTCTGAGGCTGTAGAAGGTGATGCTGACATTGTAGCGCTATGAATTAAAAGAGGAATATGTACCCGGATCTGAACTCTCTGTTGCTGATGCATTGAGCAGAACTTTTTTTGGAAGAGAGTGAAGAAAGCCTCAGCCCATATTTGGCAGCAAACGAAGTGCAGCTTACAGCCTACCTTCCCATTTCACAAGAAAGGTACAGTGACTTCCAGCAAGCTAGTGCAGACGATCCAGCCCTGCAAGCCTTAAGCACAATTGTTCGAAATGGATGGCCTAGTCACTAACAAGAGCTACCATTAGTTGTCCGCGAGTATTGGTGCAGAGATGAAATATCAAACGTTGGTGGGATATTATTCAAAACACAAAAGCCTATCCAGGAGTCATACTAAGATAAAGCGAAATGCAAGCAGCGCGCCAGCGACATTCGATTTTGGCCAGAAACGTTATCTCAAATTGAAGATAAAGTGCCTCAGTGTTCTTTATGCGCCCAGTGTCAGAGAGCTCAATCAAGAGAGTCAATGATAATTCAAGACTTCCCTGGCAGACCATGTTCGAAAGTTGGAAGTGACTTGTTTGAGTGTAATGGAGATCATTACCTTCTGTATGTAGATTACTATTCGAAGTGGATTGAAGTTGTTAAGCTAGACAACTCAATCAGCAGCAATATAATCTGTCATCTGAAGAGTCAATTTGCTCGACATGGCATACCTGATGAGCTTATTGGTGACAAAGGGTCTCAGTATGCTAGTTCAGTATTTACTAATTTCAGCAAGAGCTATGGTCTTGTCTATACCACATCAAGCCTTTAACGTATTTGTTAACAAAACGATAAAGTCTTAGAATACTGTACGCCCCGCAAATAGCTATTACGCTAATCAGGGCAGGACAAAACTTTAGACCAAGGCGATATAAAATAACATATTTTTAAAAAAGAAAAGAAATACAATAATATAAAGACAGAAACACTAGACGTTTTCGGTAGTTACATGTAAATTACACGTGCAGGGACTTTGTTATTTGATAATAGACTAACATTACAACTGGAGGTATATACAACAAATTACGTATTCCTAATGAATGAGTAACATTCAAATAATTATCTTCATTATCTTGAACATGAATGCTCGTTTCGACGAATGAAGTTAATTCGTTTCGATTTTTTCCCTCTTCTTCGCATTTCCCAATATTTTATTCATACCTTTCCAGGTCGACCAGATATTTTTAATGTTAGAGACGAAAAACTCCATCGGCTCCGATAGCATAGAAAAGTTTCAAACGCAACTGCGTGGTGGTTTCAGCAGACTCATGCTCGTCCCTTTCAGGAAGCCCAACATCTTTAACGTTATACTCAAAGCCGTTCTTAAGTAAGTCATCAATGGCGGCGTCCAGACTGTCAACTCCTGTAGAAATCGCTTCAAGCTTATGCCTTAGATTGTCAAGTTCTTTCGAGATATTCTCGCGGCCCGAAAGCTTTTCGTTATATGGTGGTCCTCACACAAGAAATCAACGCTCGTTTGGATACTGTTTCCATATCTGGTTGCAACGTCTCCTACCTGTGAGGTGTTCGCTTGAAGTCGTTGTTGCTCGATAATCGATTTCAGTGTCTGGAGTTCACTATTTACCGCTGAAATCTCTACCCTTATATAGTTTAAGGTTTTTCTTCTGTTGATTTTTAACTTGACTCATTTTAATTTACAATGTAAAGCATTGGTTTTAAGTTTAAATCAGCATGTGCGAAGTGCATAACACTTCTCAAAAACCAAGTAAGATTTCCTTCAAACAAAGTTGAAGTAGCATTATTGCAAAAACTTCTCTCCAGTTATTTATATGATGTAATTACCGACTGAGGTCACTTTAAGGACCATAGACGCCACTTTAAGCTCGCAAAGAGAGGCGACAAGCAAAGAACAATTCCATCATGCATAAAATTCAGCTTAAGTGAACTAAAAAAAGCTTCAATAAGGTTGCAAAACAACAAATTTCGACTCAAAAAACATAAGGCTTAAGGCTCTTATACCTGCTGACAATGAAGAAGTGAATTTTCTGTGCGAAATAACCTACCTAAAGATCTTAAAAGCAAAAGATCAGTTGCAAGCTTCGCACCCAAGCCATGATTCACCATTTAGCTATTTTTAAAAACTGGTCCATGCGAGGGTCTTCATTCAAGCAAATTAAACTCAGCAAACTGAATCATTAGAAAGTACACAAAACTGCACATAAGGGTTTGTTTTGCTCGCTTCAGTCAAATCCAGCTCCAGCAATTGTTTACGGGCAAAGAGTTAATTGTTTTGAAGCCACTGCCGGCAGTTGTCGTTCTCAGCTACTTCACAGCGAGTGAAAAGGAAAATTTGCGTACAGAAAGAAAACAAAACTACGAAATTAAAAATGAAAAAAGAAAAAAAAAATTTCCGACTATTATTACTTGAGCAACAGAAAAGTGATGGAAGTAGTCTGTTCTTCTCGAATAAGCTTGCTAGCCTTCTATAGTTCCGAGGAAGTTTTAAGCGCTCATGTTTTTTCACTCGCAAGCGTTAGCATTACGGTTCTTTGACATAAGACAAAGATAAAGCTGGTTCTGGAAAGGTAAATGAATCTGGGCATGTAAAAAAAACTAACCGTAACTACTAATAACAGAATACAAGCAGGTCAGTTTAATTCAGCCCGGCGAAAGAAGGCGAAGCACTGGACACAAAATCAATTCACAAATCGAATGCACAATTATAGAAAAATACAAACCTCTTTTGAAATGTTCAAAACGTTTTATTCCTCCTCAGACTGACGGAATGATCTGTTTTTACTCTAACATTGGTTGTTCTGAATCCAAAGTAATTTTCAAGTGACGAATGCGCAGAAGCTTGCGCAGAACATTTTTCCGCCCTGAAAGACCAACATTGACGTCACGTAGTCTTCAGTCTATCACACAGCCATTTCAGAAACATTTTCGTGAAGTCTTCGGAAATGTTCGGATTTTGATCTTTTATCTTTCTATAAAGGCTTGGGAAGAAAAATCTTTACCCAAATCTCACTTAGGATGGTTCTTTTTAGTGTTTGGTGAAGGTAAAGCGACAAAAGAAAATATTTCAATTTTTTGGTTCATTTGACCTTTAAGATAAATTGAAGCAAACGGGGAAGTTGAAAGAGCAATTAAAAACATCAAGAATCCTCTCAAGACAGCACAAGATCCTTTCAAGGCACTGCTGAACAAAAGAAACACTCTTTTGGATGGTATAAGCCTTTCCCCCTGCTGAGATGCTCATGGGTCTAAAATTAAAAACGTCCCTACTAACAAAGGTCAATTTCCTTAAAACCCAAGGATCAAAAGAAATTCAGCAGCGCTTTCAGAAGGACAGAGAGATTTTCTTATGACCAACGAAGCAACAAGGAGTCACCTCCTTAATTCATGTATCATGAGAATGAATGGACCCAAGCTACTGTTGTAAGCAAGCATCACACACTAAGATCTTTGGAAAATGGTAGATGGTAAATTCTACCAAAGAAATCGTCGTCTCCTAAGCAAGAGAGCTTCACAAGTAAAGAACAAATAGACTGATACAACACAGACCTCAGCATGACTTTAGAAAGCCACTAGTGCTACTCCAACCGGTATCCAAAGCAGACCTTGTAAACCAGGAGTAGCAAAGGATCGTGATCGCTGAGGTCGGGACTAAGACTATGCCTGAACTGTGAACTTTTATGAACTGTCAAGTTAAGGATGTTGACAATGGGTTCATTTGCTTTCTATGATTAAGCTTTTTTAAATTTTGCTTGCAGTTGTTTACAGTTTGCCACAACAGCTTCTTTGTTGTTTTAAAAAGGGGAGATGTCACGTATCCTATCATGAAAATACCTTAAACATCTTGGGATATATTAAACCACGAGTTTAGTTTCAGTCTGGTTGTCTTGTGATACAGTACATTAAGGACGTACAGAGAGGGTACATGCTACATAGCAATAGCCTTTCCTTCATGCAACACTGGTAAGCCCTTGTTATCACTGAGCTGGAAAGCATAGCTCCCAACTCACCGACGGCGGCGTTGAAAAGACATGGGGAGTAGCAGTAACCGGTTACGAGCAGGTGTTGCATTCGAAAGATTCTCAGATCTCTCTGAAGAGCCATCATCTGCTTAGGCTTGGAAGCTCCCAGCCAGTAAGCTCCCACCACAGTCAGTTTCTTTATTTTCCTCGGGTGTATGAGGAGCAGCTCACTGTAACCATCGCACAAAGTAAGAAAAGAACTCAGAAAAAGTGAAGACTGGAAGAAAACAAAAACTCGCCGGCATTCCAACTACCCTTTAGGATAACAATAACTCTAAAAACTCTGTAAAAAAAACTAGGAGCTCGAGAAACTGAACGCGGACATAGCTGGACTTTAGGAAACATGGATGATGGCCGCGATATCAGATTCATTTTTAGCAAGCCTTTCAAAAATCTGGAGGAAGAGAAATAACCCCACTCGATCCTATACGCTATTGGCTGTCTGCAGACCACATGGTGACCATGATGAGCCAGACCCCGAAACTAGGATTAAAGAGCTAAGCAAGACCATCTACACCTTTGCCTCACAAAGCAGTACGTAGTTACGACCTTCAGGCATTAGGAACTGCAGTCACCGATAAACCATTTTTCCTATATTTGGCAAACCCTAAGCTGATAGTGACAACAAAACTGTCATCAAATAACGTCTGTGAGATCAACCTGTTCTTCGACAGCGAGACGTAGATTAAATACAGTTGACTCCCGATAACTCAAACACTCCCTAACTCGATCCTCGCGCCAACTCGAACCAAAGTCGATTTCCCTTGGAATCTCTTCATACATTTACTGTAATTTCACCCTCGATAACTCACACCCTCGATTACTCGAACCTTCCGCTAACTCGAAGTAATTTTTGTTTCCCTTCAGATGATTTCTATATCATTTTACTCTCGATAACTCGAGCCAAGTTTTAAGCGCGTTACAAGTAAAAAAAAACAGTGCACTGAAGTCCGAAACATTGAGTTTATTTATAAATAACAGTGTTAAGTCTTTGTCTTTACTTTAATGTCACTCCAGTTCAAATTCAGTGCCCATCCGTGTATATTAAACAAGCTTTGTTGCTTTATTCGTTCTGCAAAATATTAGTCTATATCTCTTGCTGCCCTGGGTGAACAACTACATTAAGTGTGCATGATACTAGCTTATACTTGCATTCTCTCCTTATCCATTTGCTCATTGCCTCATTTTCGGTTTTTTGCTTGAAACTCTCGATAACTCGAACTTTTTTCAATTTCCCTACAAGGTTCGAGTTATCGGGAGTAGACTATGCCAAACAAGAGACACGACTCAACACTTTCCACTTGCAAAGCATGCGCGGTATCCTGGACAAGTCAAGATTTATCAAAGTAGTTAAGATTTCCAAACCCGATATGATATGTATCACCCATTGTCAGCCTGACTAAAGAGGGTCCCATAGTGTTGCGTAGGACAGACGGATACCAGGTTTTGTGGAGCTGTCTAGAAAACCAAACTGCCTAACACGCAGTTTACAACATGTGCCCTCAGTGCTACCATAAGGGCTGCTATAGTAACGGAACCCTTCCTTCTCTTTTCTTTTGCATCCCCTGAAAACTCCTAAAGACATGACCAACGGTCATGGCCCATATTAATCAATTAGTTGAATGAAAAGGTAAAACCTTTCACAGTTATACAAAAGAAAACTAAATACTCACAAGTCATTAAAAAACCTGGATTTGCTGAAACTGTGAAAGGCTCCTGGTTCCACAGTCGTAATGTTGTTGTTCCCCAAAAATCTGGTGAAAAGATACAACCTCAGTTTAAGAGTGACAAAACAGACACACAGTCTTCATTTAAAGTCAAAAGCAACGATTAAGGCCATGCTAAAACCTGAGAAATTCCAAGAGAATGAACAAATAAAGGAGGTGTATAAGACATCCTTATCAACTTACATTTCTTTAACATATCGTAGTCCTTTAAACGTAAGACTGCGTATTTCTGTGATGCTATTTTTATTTAGCGACCTTCAAGGGACAAGAATATATGGTCAACAAAAATTTACAAATAAAAAATGTAAAAAACCATTGTGAGTTTAAACCTCATTGGTAGGTGAGCAGTTTCCAAGAATCTTATATTGATCGAACGCTTAGAGACGAAACAGAGTGGGCGAGACCTTGCAAACTGAACAGCCCAGTAAACCTTGCCTATAGTAAATAACAGACACATGGTATCTCGTAAATGCAATGTATTATGTAAGTTTGATTATTTTTAGTGGAGCTCTCGTGCACGAAGCGCGCCCGCGGAGCACCATGGGTAAGAAAATTTGCTAAACTATCTATCCGAGAAAATTTGGTTATGACGTAGCGTACGAACGAACGTCCGTACACCCACTACATATAAGCCGATGCCAAATGTCAGGTTATTTTGGCGGGAAAGCGTATGGCCTCCCGCGTCTTGTGAAGCAAACACAACTTAAGAGTCAATAAAGACGAGAACGGAAAGCGGAAAATGTTTCTGTATCCCTGTTTTTTTTTTTTAAGTATTAAGCTTAGATTAATTGTCATGTCCACAAATTTGGAATATAGAGAAAGAGAAAGACAGAGACAAAGAGAAATTAGGGCGACAGGCAAGCGAAGCTCAACGAGAAAGTGAGCTAGAGCGAGAGAGAAAAAACAAAAGGAGACATTTTCTGTTGGAGAAACAATATGAAATTTTGTAGCGGCGGGATGCTAGCGGTCACCAGGGTGAAAAGGAGCGACAGTGAAAAAAGGGTGAACAAGAACACGTCCGACATTCCCTCCATAAAACGTGCAACTAGGAAGTTTCTGGAAGTTTCACGTAACAGTAGTGCAAAACAACGGCAAAGAAATGTACAAAAAAAGTGTGCTGCACGTGCAAAGTAAAATATCGAGAGCTTCACTTTTAGCCTTGGCTAAATCCAGCTATTATCTTACACTTACAGAGATCTTAGGTCCTTTAAATCCTCAAATGTCCCTGGTGCAATGCGCTGAATTCTGTTATTAATTAAAGACCTAAGACAATGGATTAAAAGTAAATTAAATATGTAAAGTATATTATAAAAGATGATTATTGCATACAATGTAAACAGAATATCATGAAAAAAATCATGGGGATCATGGGATCATCGAAGTTATATTAAGAACCAAATCGGTTGGAAAAAAACCTTGAAAAAACAATCAGTTTTGATAGAGAATTGGGCAATACGTTTGTCATAATCGGACACAAAGTTTTATACTTATTGATCTCAATGCTCTTAGCTTTCGTTCGAACAAACATCCCAAAAACCCGATTCGCTCTGACTCCCGAGAAGATAGCTTTTAAGTTCATTTACCTTGGTCGTCAACTTATTTGATAAAACTACAATTTTTGATCGTCATAATAATTTGATAGAGGAGCTGTTGCTGCGTTGATACGCTATTCTAGACTGGAAATTATCCACGCCCACTTAATATTTCAGTATCTGTGTTAAACGGCTATTTTCTTACGTCCCTAGAGCAGTGTAATAGGAAGTTTTCATTGTAATACAACTGATTCACCAAAAAACGTCAAGAGTCAAAGAATCCCCAGGATATTTATATAAGTACTTTCGAAGGCTCTATCATACTTACAGGTAATTTAAACGATCCAAACCACTAAATGTTCCATTTAAGACCTCTGAAATCTTGTTGTTGTCTAGCATTCTAATTAAATAAAAAATAATATTTTAAGAGAAAACCATAAAGCGCGAAAGTGAAGAAGGTGTTTGAAATCATAAATTTTATAAGGAAGGATGTGCCTGGTTATTTGTCAGTGCCTATGCCATGTTCGTGTAATGCTAACATCCACTCCAAGAGTGGCTTAAAAAACAAACAAAACCACAAAAAATGCTTCAAAAATGGAAAGTTTTATTTGCAATCGAATGTTTTGTTCAATTGTTCTTCCATGGCTAAATTATATGAAAAGTTCTTTTTCTTTTAATTTTTTTTAAAGAAATGTCTCAGAAGAAGGTCGTAAGGTGAGTAAAAGAATGAATAAAATTAGCTTCCATCTATCAAACCACGTTGTCAGACCGGGATCCACAGACTTTAAACTTAACATTTTCGCCTGGTTCAATTTCCCCACCCCACCCAGGCAATGGTCAAATTTCCCATTCCCTTGGCAAAAATGATGGCCATATATGCTCGGGGTTTGCCTGGGGCCATGGGGCCAAATTAATCGGCGTATTACAAAGTAACATAAATTGTTATGCCGCCTCCCCGAAGTGCTCGCCCCTCTTGGCTAATTTAACTGAGGAATCACTGTTAGCGGGATAGATGAATCGCGAGTAAAAATGGAATTAAGTTTAGGGGGATTTAAGTGATAGCTAACAATTCTTCCAAATGCTTCAGGCCTTTAAATCCACCAGGTGTTATGCTTTGGATGTTGTTTCCCCGAAGATCCCTAAAAAGATAAACATTCGCAATTGTGAATAGCATCCCCCTGGTACAACTCACGACGTTGTTATTATGAAGATCCCCAAAGAAAAGGGGAAATAATGACTTGTAATTGATTGGGTGTCTTGTAATACGTTACATGCCACACTACTGACGTGCATTCTTAAGATGATTGTCATGACAGACGTTCGCCCTTTAACAGTCCCTTTAAAGCCATTGCTAAAAGAAAGTGTAGAATTTATGCTAACATATAAAACGGGCTTATACGAATAGCTTACAATTCTGATAGATATTCCAGGTTCTCAAATCCACCAGGTGTTATAGTTTGGATTCTGTTATTATGAAGATCCCTAAAGAAAGAGGATTGAAATAAAAATCTCACATATGTGTTGTCAAGTGCTCATACGATTGACCGTAATCCATCATAACTAAGCCATCAGTTATCTCTGAGGAAAAGAAGCATTTATTCTCTGTTCTTGTCTCTAACGGATACCCGTACGGTTTGTAGCTAACATTACGAAATCTAAAATCAGACACCTGATAAAGTCGATAAAGAACCCACAACCGAAAACCACTTCGTCGTTGCCCAGCACATCAGGATGGAGTAGTGTTTAAGATTCCTTGCAAATGCGGAAAAGTATACACTGGAGAAAAGGGACGGCGCACGCGTGAACGGATTAAGGAGCTCGATAGGGATATACAGCTTTCACGTACTTAAGCTTCAGTCTGTTCTGAGACCGGCATTATTCGCTTTGGGACGAGGTTTGGTTTACTCACCGAGAACCACACCGTATGATACTCTCGTATAGTTAAAGAGGATATTCACATAAGACTTCACTCTAACAACATCAAGAGGCCTAGGGACAGTGGAATCTCAATTCCCTAAAGCATAGATGCCTACTATCGGCGATCAGACAACACAACAGGTCATCACTACCACAGTGGACGCTGAATGAACAGTTTCCTCCTCTAATAATGACATCAATGCTTCGGATCGAAACCCACTAACCGTGAGCGTTGTTCGTGATACAGTCACTGTGATACAGATAGTCCTACTCAATAATCAACACTATCACCTGATTGAGACCTGCAGTACGCGGTCGAAACGTCGCAACCCTTTACTTCACAAATGATTGATTAAGTGCCTTTAAGAGTGATTTTGCTTAACTCTGGAATTTGACAGTGGAGTGTTACGCATTATTACGTTGTTTTTTTTTTCCCTTTTTTTTAACTTCCAACTATTTGGCATTAAGTCCGTTAACTATTCGGGTCAAATAAAATCATTCTAATACGCTGAATGACTTAGTTATGTAAGGAAACTAACTGTTGTGATACCGTGTTTGTTAGGTACATAACATGTTTTCTATTTTAAACCTATTGCTACTTACAAGTATTTCATATTATTCAATCCATGAAATAGTCCCCAATAAACTTTTTTCAAATGGTTTTCTTGAAGCTTTCTGAATGTAGGTAATTAAATAAAAGTAAATGAAAAGCTATTAACTTAACTCCAGAGTAGCGACCCAGAGCATTTGCCAAAAAGGCGCATGAAAAATTAATCTTGCTTAAAATTGAGAAAAGCAAGTAGTCTGATTAAGCCTGGAAGTAAGCTCAGTCAACTTCGATTCCATGGCTACTTTTTCCTTGTTAAACGGTTTATTCTATTAATCTTCCAAAATAAATTAATCTGCAATATTGAAGAGATGTGAAGGGGGGCGGGTGTTGGTCTGAAACCTGCAAGAGACCTGCACACCTGCTGCGATTTAATTTAATGTGTACCAAGAGAAATTTCCCTTCAAGCTATGTGTTATTCACAGTACTTTTGCTAATCTTCAAAAAATAATATTCATTACAATTTATATTATAAGCCTGATTAAATTTTTTTGATTGTTAACGTTATAATAATTAGTATTTTGCTTGTTTTAGGGAAAGTAAAACAGTTTAGTAACTTACAGAGTTCGTAGTGTCAGAAGATTTTCGAAACATCCTTCTTGTATGAAAGTAACGTTGTTATACTGGAGATATCTGTAAAGCAAGAGAGGATAAAGGGGACAGAGAAGGCATTCCCCATACACACCCTATTCCATAGGTAATTCGTCTCGAGTTATTTTTAGAATCGGGATAAAGTTACCTCGCGCGCTGCGTGGATGTTTCGTGGAGGTTTCGCATGACTAAACGCCGTCCAAAACATGTCGGGCGAAAGGCAATGAAAGCGTAAAGAGATCGAGAGCATTTCTGAATATCGAAGCGAAATGAATCGGCGCTCACCTGGGAAAAGGGAATCGCTGGACTATTTGACAATCCGTGAAATCAGTTTAACTCGAAGTTGTCCTAACCTCAGTGCTTTGATAAAATGAGAAATTTCGCCGGTCTATTGAAACCGATCGTTTGTACAATAAAGCAAGTAGGACGCCAAATGCTATTTGTGTTGAATAATAAACGACTAATAAAAGAATAAATATCGAACCAGAAATTGCTCTCTTCAAACTGTAAATTACAAATGATCCTGAGAGAATATTCAGTGTGTTAAGGATTTCCCTGATGTACTGTTAGCTTTATACAAGAGAGGAAGAGCGAATCTTTTTTAATTTCCATTTCGCTGACACCGCTTTAGTAGAAATCTCTCTTTAGTCGTTTTCGTCGACAAAACGAATAGCAATATCGCTCTCCGCGTCTTCCGCCATTTTTTTCAGCGTCAATTCGTGAAGGACGCGTGGCTCTGAGCGTGGGTCATCCACGCGGAACACATTCGCGCTATGTGATTGGCTGTTGTCTAATCCCCATTGGGATCTGTGGTCTTAAAAATAACTCGAGACGAATTACCTATGGAATAAGGTGTGTATGGGGGATGCCTTCTCTGCCCCCTTCATCCACTCTTGCTGTAAAGGGAATCGGTAAACGAAAATACACGTTTTAGTGATTACCGCCGATATTTACAGTGTATGTATTGTCTATTGCTTTTTTGTTCAGCATGCGAAGGATGAGGTACTTTGATAGCGAGGCACGAAATAATTTAGCTGTTCCAGGCGCTATGATTGTAGGGAGCAATGCAATTCCTTCAATATTATTTGTTTTCGCTTATCTCACTATTATCTGAATGCCTCTAACAGGCCAAAAGGTTGTATATATTATCTCATTTTTTCACGTTTTTTCTTATCAAAATTCATGCATTGGCACCTCAAGGCGATATAGTGTGGCTGGAAACCGTAGATTATATGAGCGAAAAAGGGGCCATCGTTTTTGTTTTTGTATTTTTGTTTGGTACATTTAATTACTGTTTTCAGCAAAGAGCAGTGGAAAGTCTTCAGTTCTTTAGGCGCTGATTATGACATGGCTATCTTCTCAGAAGATGAAAACCATTCCAAGAATTCATCTCATGGAAAATGGATGAATTTTCTGAATTTTCCGCGCAAATTATGTGCTGTTTTAATCTAGTGAAGCAAATGTAACAATTGTTTCATAAGGTATTTATACAACTTAAAAACGCACACTTTGTGTATAATAAAACTGTAAGGCAGTTTTAATGAAAAATATTAAGCAGAAAACATGGCGTTAGAAGTGTTTCAATTAGTGTTTTCCGATTCATTGGAAATGAAAAATGCCCTGCCGCCATTTTTATGCAAACAATACGGGTGCACAGTTGGAGCAGAACAATGAAAGCAAACCAAAGCAAGCACCTCGTTTCAGTTGTTTCGCACGATCGACCAAGGCGTTATGGACAAACGGTTTTTAATCAGATGATGGCTTATGTCAACATGCCTCTCTCGCTTTTTATCCTTTTTTGTTGTTGAAATTAGCATTCCAGTGATGTTAAACGTTATAATTTTCTAACGTGTTTAATTCTCTAGACGTCCAATGATTTTACATTAAATGTACATCTTACGCTATAAATCTTTTAACAAAATGCTTTCGACGGTTTGAAAGAAATCTTATGCCAGCTTTATTTCAGCAAGCGTCACAAAGGCATTAAACTAGGAAATTTAACAGACAGAAAACATATTTCCGAACAAAAGGAATTTCCACTAAATCGGAATACCCTATTACAAATGTACATTATAATACTGTGGGGGCGTGTTCGAACAACTCGCTCGCTACACGAAGAGGTACCAGGAATCTGATTTACTTCTTGCTTTTATTCTTCTCTCTCTTCTCTACTTTTACTCTACTTCTCCTCTTTACTCTTACTTCTAACTAGTTCAAGTATAGTAGCGGTTTTAATAGCCAAAGCTGGACATGTTTGGGTTAGCTGACCGGAAAATTTTCTATTGTATACCTTATCGCTAACATTGTAACAGGTTTGCTATTGTTAGGGAATAGACTAGCCTTCGCACAGTCGCAACTGATAAGTACCAAAGAACGAAGGTCAGCTCTAACACCACAAACACGACCACCTGTTAAAAACTAACATCTGACAATGCCAAGCGAATAACATTCCTAATATGCCAATAAACAAATTCGCTAGCTAAGCATGAATTCAAGTACAAGTAAAAATAAAAGATCAAAACAGGAAAACAGTACGTGGACAAAAACAAGACTTAATGAAACAAAAACTAAACTTCAAAGATAACATAGACCTGTCTTAAAAAATAACTCCTAGAATACTCCACAACAATACTCACAATTTAACTAAAGAATTAACGCCACGGAAGGTGCCTTTAAGAAGCACTGAAATCTTGTTATTCTGAAGCATCCTGTTTTGGAAGTAATAAAAGTCAGTGGAGGACTAACAAAAAGAAAACCTGTAGACAAATACGGCTATTTTAGAAACTAAACAGATACAGTAGTCGCTGGAAACAGCGCCGCCCTTGATCGGAAACACACCGCCTCCGATCAAGTACCGCATCCTCCCAGGAACGGTACGACGCTTATTTTCTTGTCCATGAGGTATGCAAAGATAAAGCACAACATATAATAAGTCTAACATCCACTATTGAGGATTTCTTTTGACATTTTCTTAAATCGCTGAGCTTCGTTGTGGCCAGAACAATTGCCTGTTCAACTTTTCATAAGCTCCTTTCGATCGACCACCTTATTCTGATATTGATGTGGCTTCTGTTTTTCACTGCCGCCATCTTCTATCTCGTTATGCTTAGATAGGTGGTATTCACTTCCGCGCAAAACAAATTAGCTTTTTGTCAGGGGGTGTTTACATGACACCGGGGAGACTTTCGTGCCGGGGCTAATTCACTCCGGTTCCCTCTCATGACTCTATATTTGTTTACATGATACCACCACAAAACGTCATGCCGGCGCGAGTCACCCCGGCGTGAGTTCACCCCGGTTGCTGCAACAGGGAGGGAATTTCACTCCAGTACGAAATATCGCAACGGTATCATCTAAACGGGAAACGACAATCGGTCTGCCAGTAGACTGGAACGGGTAGCGCATGCGTAATGTTTGCGATTTTGAATCACACGTTTATTTTAACAACATGAAGTGTACCTTCAAATAACGAGATATAAAATGACCTAGTCATCATGTAAACGTGATACGAAATCAAAAGTTATTCCGGTATGAAAAGTGGTACCTATGTGGTAGGATTACGCGTCACTACCCAGATCTGGGTAGTGACGCGTCATCAGTATGGAATTTCTGCGCTCGTTTCTAAGACGTCATTTCGCGCGTAAACCAGTGGTAGCTTCGAGAAATGTAGGCAATTTTCTCAGGCTATCACATCTTCAGTTGCTGATACTCAACTATATTGACCTGATTGGTTATTGGTCGTATGTTAAACCGTTATGTTATTGGTCATGAAGACTCTTTCATATTTGTGGTGGGTTTCTATGCCTCTTTTGTTATAGTAATAACAGTCGTTATTGTTAATCAAATTCTTGGTTTGCCCGGTTACTCCAGTTATTTTTGTCAGTTCTGGTTGAGTTCGCCAGTAAGAGTTTGTAAGGTGTAGATAACTATTGACTTTGATTCGGCCGTTTACGGTCTAAGTTAGAAAACCAGCTGGTTTAATAACTTAGAATTGCCATGAGATGTTAAATATGAAGACAAATTTGTATCACAGACCAAAAATGTCTCCGGGAAAATTTTAGAAATAGTCGTAGAATCTATCAAAGAGGAGTAAAATTATAATCGTTCAAATTTATCCAGACAAGCCACTCTGCTTGTTGTGTGCTTTAATGGTGAAAAATTACAGTGACAACAAACATCACTTAACTACCAGTGCACTATATTAGAATACACATACAAGTCTGTCAAAGATTCCAGGCCATCAAATACTCCAGGAGTAAGGCTTTCAATGCTATTATCGTGAAGGTACCTAAAGATTCATTAAATCATAACCATCATCAGTGAGTGTCATCACAATAAAGGATACATGTGAAAATCATCGCCGCCATGACTGTCATAATTGCCGCTAAGATGGTGGATTGAAATAAAGGGGATTTAAAGAAACTGATTCTTGCATAGGAATCTCATTAGTTGTCATTTGTTTAAATTGGCAAAAATCAACGTCGATAACTTAGTGGCACATAGTTTTTTCCTATCGTAAAAAAGAAACACTTTTAGTTTCATTAGCAGGTGTGGTAAAGTATGTTTGGTCAATGAGGACTGGGATTATAATTGACTCTGACTCAAAAATAGACGGACTGTCATTGGCATACTTTGGACGGCGCGGTGAAGTGGTCAAATCTACTGGAAAGTGTTATGATTGTAAGGTATAAAAATGTTTTGTTAGTAAGGGAAGGCTGAGGTTCACTGGACGTTTTCTATTTTATTTGTGACACGCGCTCTACCACGAAAATGTCGAAAACTTCCTGTGCGGGTATTAAGAATAGAAAGACTCGATGTTTAAATGGTCTACGGTAGCTCTATTGGTTTTACCCTGGAGGCAACGGGTTTAAATCAACCCGTCTGCCCCTGAGATGTATTACTTAAGGGCCATGCCATGATCATACATTTCACCTGCCCGGTTACTTACAGGTCTTCCAAGATGCTAAGACTTTTGAAACTTCCATTCTCAACATATTTAATGTTGTTACGTCCAAGGTTCCTGTGAAGAATGCGTTTGATCAAAATAGCCTCATCAATATATTGAATATATTAAATCGTCTTCACCAAATAGAGAAACAAATGATTTACTCACAGGTAGGTTAGGTTCCGCAAGTTCCAGAAGGCTCCTCTTGAGATTCTAGTCAGGTTGTTTTGGTCTAAGTATCTACAAATAAAAAGAAAAGCTTTGGAATTTATCTTTTATTCTGTTGTTAAAGGCAAGATGATTTCTATAGTTTAGAACGGCAAGGCTATCAGTTTCTTCTTTAACTTCCCCGAGAGAAATTCGCACAGGGACCAACTAACTGAATTACTAACATCGGAATTTTGCAGAGAAGAGTCGGAGTTAGGGCATAACTCCTACATTCCATCAATGAATCGATTACTTAAAAAATGAATCCGTTAGTCGTTGCTGCGACCAGCATCAAATTTAAATTTGCATTATATATTGCCGCATGCGTAATAACCAGCAGTGAATTTATGACAGCAACTTCTCAGTATATGGTCAGATGGAAAATCTTTGAATGGATAAAATAGCTTTGAAAACATTCATATCAAATTCAGGAAAACTGAGCAACCAGAAATTTCATAACGACCTCGAGTGTGAATTCACTGCTTATTACGCCTAGAGGAATGCAGAGATCAACCTGAAATCTTCAACTACCAGAACGGATTCAACTTTCGAATAATAAATTCACTAATGGATTTTTGGGGGGTACGCTTAACCTGGCTTGACCGCAATGTCTAAGTAAACAGGGTTATAGTACAAAAGATTTTATAAAATAACTGAGATAGTACGCGTGATCTGATTGGTCAAAAACCTATGGTTTATTATACCGGTAAACCCATAGAAAAAGGCATCCGGACCACGAGCCATAAACAAAACCGGCTATTGATCTGCAAACAACGATTTTAGAAAGGCTAAAAAACAGAACAAGTTACTTACCCAACCCTTCTTAATATTAAAAGCGTTGGTTTCCACATTTTATTACTGAGCCTCACAATTCGCTACTGCCATAGCTTTAGAAGTTATAAAGTACAAAGCTGGAAAACAGTTTACATTTTACGACGATGCCAATCGCAGAGAAAGACAACAACTGTGTGAATTTCTGGTGTAGAAAGTCTCTAGGAAAACTTAACCATGTGCCAACCAGCAACAAAACGGATAGTTTTAGCATTCTTGATTTATTTTATGTCAGAATTAAATTCCTTAATGAAAGAAATTGTTCCAAAAAGAGATCTCTGATCAAGATATGGTACAAAATCGGCCGCTGTAGTTTGTAAACAAGCTGCCAACGATGATGAAAGATGTCAGAGTTTCGGGCTGGTTTTTTCCAACAATCGCACAAATTATTCGGTGATATCGATGCCATAACCTACCTCAAACCACCTGACTTCACGAATCGACAAATATTTACGCCAATATGTGGCTACGGCAAAGAAACCTTTCTCCACCACTGACATATTTCCATCGGTCGCTGTGCGTGCATATAAAGTTACATGCGACAACTTCGTAAATGCAGCCACGTCGTTACCCCAGCATTTCTTCATCATAATAGTCCAGAAAACAGATCTCAAACCACTGCGGCTTGTAAAAAGTGAATGAAGTCCTTCATTACAATAGCTGTCAGTTCCGTCTGTAACAATGAAATTCTTACGGACTTACGGATCGACTCAACAAAATACAGCTGCGTACAGTCTGATGTTCAGTTAATTTCTACTTCTGTAGTAAACAAACCATGAACGTATTCTTTCATTGTACGTTCGCATGAATATGTGTTGACTTTTCCTGTAAAACAGCTTTTATAAGTTATCATGTAATGAGTGCAAAAACTCGTGTTTTGAAGTGCTGTTGTTTGTTGTTTGACTGAACTGAGTTTTGAGAAAGGTCAACGCTATTACATCGTGAGTCATGATTGGCTTATGATGACTTTAGAGAGAAGACGTGACTTGATCACGGTACTAGAACCATATTTTTTACCTGAAACACTCCATTCTACTAGAAGTTATTTTATAAAAGCAATAGACCACACTTTCTATGGGTTCACCGGCGTGATAACCCACTTGGGATGTTGGGAGAACACTAGAAACTTTTCTCGTGTTCTCCCAACATCCCGTGTGGGTTATCACGCCGGTAAACCCATAGAAAGTGTGGTCTATTGCTTACTGCGCTTTTCACAAACATGCGAACTCTAAAGTTCAAAAGCCGCCTTCACAATTGCGTTTTTCGCTGCCGTCAATCATAATTACGATCACACGCAATGAACCTTGAAACACAGAAACACGAAACGGATCGAAATCCACCAATAACAAATTACAAACCATAACCTTTTGAAACCGTTAAAGTAAAGTTTTGTCTCCTAAGAGGTTCGTTAAGATGATTGACGGCAGTGAAAAACGCAATCGTCGGTTGGCTTTTGAACTTGAGAATTCGCATGTTTGTGAAAAGCACAGTAAATACACACGGTTCAAGAGAGGCAGTTTCACACCTAGAAAAAGCCATTAACGTTCAAGCTTCTCTCCATTTTGACACACCCAGCCAAAGCAGCCCATGCACGACTAGCCGCGGTGACAACATGATTACAACTTTCATTTCAAACTGAAATGGCCACAACATTCCCTCATCTCGGCGCGATGACATGACCACCTTTTTAATGATAATAGAGACTTGATTACACGGCGCTTGCACGAGTCAAACAAAGATGAGAGAGCAGGTTATACAGCCTGAAAATTTTGAGGGGAAAAGGAATGTAGCGTCAAAGATTAAACGAGTTCCTCGTAACATCTCACAAATATAAGACGTGGTGTCAAACAATTACCACATCGCCTGTCAGGAAATTTTAGTGTTAAGACCGTTTGATCTGAACTTGATACTCACAGTATTTTCGTTGATGCAGGGAAACTAGAAGGTAGTTGAGTTAAATTTTTGCCAGTGCATTTCACAACTTGGCCTTTCCATGAAATTGTACAGGAGCAAATATGACAAACAGACTCCTCTGAAATTTAAACGTAAGCAGAGGTAAATAGTACAAAACGAGAAGCGTCAATACTCCCCCCACACAGGTTCATTAGATACAGGTGAAAATAAGCGACACTGCATAAAGATAACTGTGCAGCTGATTGTGGAAAATTAGAAAGAGTCGGACTGACATTGTGAGATCTGACTTCAAAAGTATTGAATTTTAATTTAAAAAAGATCTGAAAGATTATTTTATTTATCTTCTAATAAACTTTCTTCTTATCAAAGAAGATAATTTACCCTTCTTTTTTCGTAAAATACAAAATTGTTAACTAATTCAATTCTCCGCTCAGTAGTATGCAAACTAGAATACAAAAAGAAACAAACCGGGCCGGAATGTTTCTCGGCACGAGAGCTTGCAGTATTTGTTGTCTTCTGACACTTTTGATACCTTTTATACTTTATATTCATTGGTAAACTAACTCAGATCAACAAATGGAAATAGTATCTTTTTGTGAATTTTCCGACGGGTGCTTCATACCCATTGACAGTAAGAAAAATAGGCCCATCAATTTGTTATTTTCTGCTCTTTGCTCTCCTTTAACCTCAGTTTTTGAAGAAAACGCGAAGCCTTTTGGCTTTCAAGGTGTTGTACCGCTAAGAAATAACCAAATAAGTCTTAGCAAGGGTTTGCCAAAACGGAATTATTAATAGTAAATTAATTTTTTATCAACCAAATACAGTAAAACCCCGTTAACTCGAACTCTGAAGGGAAACGAAAATTAGTTTGAGAAAGCGGGCGTTCGAGTTACAGGGGCCGATTGAGTGTCAGATTTGCCATCTTAATAATTAATAGTTACTGATTTTCCAGCGCTCCAGTGTATAGTACAGTGCAAATCTAACTCGTATTTCACCAGAAATGGTAACATGATTAGGCATCTTTATGATAAAACGTGATCTGTTCGTTGCACCAATCAAAATAAAATTGCTGTAGTGTAAATTTTACTGGTTTTACCAATTATAAAACAAGAAGAGCTAATGAAATGGCATCCGAGTGGAGTCACAAGAACCAGAATTCGAGTTATCAGGGTAAATTCCAGTGAAACTTGAAAGGAAATTTAGTTCGAGTTAGCGAGGAATTCGAGTTATCCAAGTTCGAGTTTACACAGGTGGGGTGAAATCCAAGGGAAATGGTACGAGTTAACGGGAGTTCGAGTTATCGAGGTTCTACTGTATGTCAATGTGTTGACTGTTGCAACTTTTTAAATTGGCGATTGCCTGGTGAGAGGGATAAGCTTCAAGCAAAAAAACGCTATCCCGACTGCATTGAGAATTCTCCTGGATTTTGCTTAACTATATATATAGCTTGAGAGTAGGATTATAGATTATCGGAGTTAAAACCACCTTAGCTGTAGTCTTCTTTCTTTGGCAGTTGTAACACTCTACGTACCTTTTTATTGTACTTGGAGATATACACTTTTTAATTTTTGATTGTTATGAAATTGAAAGGGTTCTAATTCGATGGAAGTTACCCGGAACATTGACATGTAACTGTCATTTGTTTTTACCGCACAATATTTTTTCTAGAACGGTAAGTCTACTACTTGCAACGTTCGCAGTTCCAATATTCATATTTATAACCTCTGTTTTATTCAAAATGAGCTCTTGTAATAAGGCTCTGCATAAAATGTGGACTCCATTGAGAAACTGTGGTCCAAGAAAATTAGCCTTTTGCAGTGCCGTCTGGAGAGTCATTTACTGAATGATTTCTATATTGAGAGTCGTGAGTAGAGCGATGTTACACGAAATCCTCAGGCATTTATCGTGATAAATTCATGCACTACAATTTGTTTCTGTGACATAAGAGAAATTTCACTGTAAGAAAAGGGAGCATGAGAACTGAAGCTTTTCATTTCTTGTAGTTTCATTTATCATAAACAATGCAGAAGATTGTCCTCGGGGAAGTTGTTATCACCCTCGGAAAAGAAAAATGGAAAAGAGGTTTTACCTTGATTAGCAACTGCCAAACATTTAAGTCTCCAAGCTTCCAGAAGAGCAAACATCAACAGAGTAACCCAGCACGATGCGCCCTTCATAGTTCACCGGTTGTAATTGTGTCTGTAAACTACTGAGTAAATGGGGCGTAGATTGGCTTTAAAATCGATGAATATAAATAATTTATTGCAATTAATTTATGTTATTGAATTCAAATTTGCTTTTAACGCAAGAAATATAATTAGAACATACAAAGTGCTAGATATACGTTCATATTTGCAATAATCTTTCCTCCTTTATAACATCATTGAGTTAAACTTTATTCAATCAGGATTCTGAATCTTGCTTCTGATTAATTACAAATGGGTTCTATTTTGCTGTATCTGTTCAATTATACTTCTCAAGATATTGTATCACTGTAAATCGTATTACCCGAAAAGTAATAACCTTTGAGGCTAAATCTAATAAATCCCCCTGCGGTAAATTTAATAAGCCCTAACGATAAATTTAATAACTTGCCCCACCGTGAATCTTTTAACAAACTTCAGCAGTAAATTTAAGAGCACAGTAACTTGCCGATTAATTCGAAACTTCAACATTTTCGCCTCCGGGCATTGAACTTTTTGAGACAGGGTTGTTCGAATTTCCGTCCCATTACTGACGCTAATGTAGTTGTCAAATACAAGTACCATAGCGCCGGATTTGACTGTCAAATGCCTTTCCAAAAGAAAATGAATAGTTAATTTAAAAAATAAACTTTACATCTATCCTGGTGTATGGCTTTTAGTGAATGTTCCGAACACCTGAAAATGAGTTAGGCTTTTTTCTCCTCATGATAGTTAAAATACTGTGTGTAATATACTTTGTATGGCAGTGGTCATGTTAACACGTTCCTTGACCGTTTATAACATGTCGCCCCTTTTAACTACAAGTGTTTCTGAGGTTTGAAGTTACCGAACTTTAATATTGAAATTCAAACTATAACGTTATTCTTTCTCTTACAAATGCCAACTTCATAGCACTACTCTAAAGAGTTAAATCTATAAAAAAAGTTCAAAAATAGGCTGTCGTTTTCGTCAAGAATCAATGGGACCTCGCACAAAGCTAATTTCAAGTACTCATTTGGACAACATGGCGAAAAAAATAACATTGGTGTTTGTGGATTACCTTGCAAATATTTGTTAGTAATATAACTGAGGCTTTCCTTTTGTGATTGGTAAATATTGTAAATTATTTGATGATGATTTATTGCTGAACATGATAAATAAGACTTTTGTCGTTATTGTATTTGCTCAAAGCCACGTATTAATTTTCAGGGCAGCCATTTGGGTTTCCAACATCATCATAACAATAATAACTTTAATAAATTCCAAAAACAAACGTTCCGAATTACAATTGACAATTAGATAAAACTGAAAAGACACCTATTAGTAAAACAGCGTTTAAAACGACCAGTCCTAATTTGAGGAAGTACATACTATTAGGAGTGACCACGATTCATAAGCAGTCTTGTTTCAACTTCCGTTTTATTCAAAATGAGCTCTTGTAATAAGGCTAAATGTGGACTCCATTGAGAAACTTTGGTCCAAGAAAATTAGCCTTTCGCAGCCCCGTCTGGAGAGTTACTTAGAAATGATTTTTATATTGAGAGTCATGAGTAGAGCGATGTTACATGAAATCCTCAGACATTAATCGTGATAAATTCATGCACTAAAATTTGTTTCTGTGACATAAGAGAAATTTCACTGTAAGAGAAGGGAGCATGAGAACTGAAGCTTTTCATTTCTTGTAGT